CTTCTATAAGGGTATTGCAGCATGAATCCTATTAAATTTAAATACACCTTTTTTAGAAATGCACCAACCCGCACATTTCAAATGTTGTAAAATATCCAACGATTTAATTAACAAATTGTTCGACAATATCGTAAAAGTTTAAGTCATTATGAAGGTGTACACCCTTTCTGGCTCCTAGGTAACAACAAAATCATCTGTTTCTTTATACAATAGTGTTATACACAGTACCCATATCTGACAGGTTATATGACACCAAAACAGAAAATATGATTTTGGCTAACTTTGGGTTTTACAATCAAGTGTCAAATCCATCTCACCTGCTGGAGCGAAGACATACATATATTCCAGTTATTCGAACCCATTTAATCGCCCATTACGATAACGAAGGGGTAATCGGTGGCAGCAGATATCAGATAGCCCCTAAGCTATCAGTAACAAGAGGACAAATATCCGACATGAATAATGTTCGAAACTGCGTGCACTGATTTCACTAGGTTTTGCTATGAGAAACACACACACTGCTTGAGATAACGCATGTAAATACATTTATATCAATGCCGATGTTTGAAGATAAAGTTTACAAAACAAATAATCTTTATTTGATAAGGTGAATACAAATATACAAAAGACCATTGCGTTCTAATTACTATAGAATGGAACAACTCATATATTTTTGTCTAAGTTTTTAGTAACATAAAAATTACGGACGCACTGATATGATATTATATAAATTTAGATTAGGACCAGCGTTTTTTTAAGCACACATAATAAATTTGACTTCAACAGAAAACTCGTAGCATGTTAAGAAGAGAATATATCTCATTTATTATTTAAGCGGTCATTTACGAAAGCAATTCAAATTATAACTTTCATCTTCCTTGGTCAGAATAATTGTCATAGCTAATGCTCAATTATAAATGCATGCACTTTAGCAACACAATGATACTTGTCATCTAAGTGCATCACTTTTCGATCAATTCTATCTCTTAAATCATTATACTTTGTCATTACGAACACGTTTCCAAGAAGGACAACCCAGAGGTAAAAATGATTTTAGTAAACAGGAGTTGTCTTTCTTTGAATATAAAGCTTTACGCAGAACTTTTTTTCCTTTTTTTTTCTTTTGTGTGTTGTTTGTATTTTTCTATTTTGCTTGATTAATTAAAGCCTCAAAGAAAAGTATTTGATCACAGTTGACTGTTTCACTGACAGTTCAAGTAACTGCAACTTACTTACTGCCTTTGAGACAGAATCCTAGAATTACAGCATGTAACAGCCAGGAACTTAAAGAGAAATTCTTAGTTTCGTAAGTTATCTTGCAGTTGAATATGAAGGTTTTCAACCTTTGCAATTTTAGCAATGTGACCTTAGAATAGTATTGGTACAATATATGCCGTACTTACCTCTGTGGCAAAATCTTCATTACATGACATATACAGACATACTAATGTATTTTTGTATTGATACAATAGTATTAAAATCATACAGAGTAGTGCAGTCATACCTGTGTTAAAGACTTCCCAAAAATAACGATAACCTTGCAAATAAAGACCATAAAAAACATCCGTCTCTTCCGTCATGGCCATTGTTCACAGGTTCAATTGTAACTTGTTTATGTTTGGTTTGTTTGTTTGTTTCATTTTACGCCCTTTTCCAACAGTATTTCAGTCATATAGGCGAATAGTTTCCTAACCATCGTTGGAGAGTTACACCAGTACTAGACTACCTTCCTCCGCGCTAAACTACCAAAGCATCTCCCGGGGATCGAACCCACGTCAGAGAGGTAAATGGATTAGAAGTCATCGACTCTAAGCCCTCGACCACGGAGGCAGTTATACTTGTTTTTGTATTTGTATAACAATATCATCATTTCATTTCATGATGCGTTTATTTAAGGTCGCCGCCGGAAAGCCCATATGGGCAACCGTACACACAAGTCGGGTCATCCTAGAGCGTCCCGCCGAGATTTTTCGTCGATTTTTTCCAGCTTTATTGGTGGAGGAAGACCCCAGGTGCCCCTCCGGGCATTATTTCAGGCACGAGCGGGCACCTGGTTAGAACCACCGACCATCCGTAAGCCAGCTGGATGGCTTCCTCACATGAAAGATTTCGACCCGAGTGAGGATCGAACCTACAGTGGTGAGGGACCTGTGATCTCAAGTAAACGACTTTAACCACTCGGCCACGGAGGCCCCTTTATAACAATATATTCAAGCATTTTGAGATTATAGTAAAACATGTTGTTTTTTTTATTACCTTCCAGGCAATAGTGGCAAGTCATATCATAACTCGAATAGTGACTCATTGTTAATGTCATTTCCGTTACAACCTGCACTTTGTATCACACAATTTGTTTTATTTTTTAAATATAATCTGCTTAATTTATTTAAATGTTTTTGTCTGCACGTGTTTGCTTCTGCTTTGCTTAAGGGAAGGAAGGAAGAAAGAAAAGGAGGGAAGGGGGTAGGGAGGGAGAGAAGGAAAGAAAGATGGAAAGAAGGAACGTAGGAAGGAAGGAACGTAGGAAGGAAGGAACGAACGGACGAAGGAAGGAAGGAACGAGCGGACGAAGGAAGGAACGGATGTTCAAACGGTCGGACGGACGAATGAATTATCGAATTCACAAATGAATTATCGAACGAACGAAAGGGAATGAAGGGGCAGAAGGAAGGAAAAATAGAACGAACGGGCCGAAAGGGAAATGAAGAAACGAATGAAAGGTACAGAAGAAAGGAAAGAAAGAACAAACGGACGAAAGGGAAATGAAGGAGCGAACGAAAGGAACGGAAGGGGGCAGAACGAACGGGCAAAAGAAAACGAAGGAATCGTCGGAAGGGAAGGAAGGAATAGAATATTAATAACTAAATTCATTATAACTATTTTACTTTTTTTCACTAATAATTATTACCGTATATTTATTGATTATTTTTTAAATTCTACACTTTATATTCACTTTACAACATCAATTCAATCAAAAGGAGTTAAGATCAAAATAAATTCATTTATTGAGCATAATATTGCAATAAATGTAATTGAATAGTTATATACATTTGTCAAAACGTTGTTGTTGTATTTCATTTAGAATTTGCTTCCGGTGAAAAGAACAATCAAAGCACAGAAGGCGCTGAATTTGTTTGGGTCTCAGAATGTCAGAAAGGTGAAGGTTGTGAGATTATAAATTTGTATTGTTTTTGTACAGTGCCACCAATGCTGTTTCCGGTGTTTTAACTGTTACAGTACTATGTAAATTGGCTATAAGACTAATTGCAACACTGTTATTCAATCCAATATTTATTTGACTTAAACATTTTTTTTTAAAAAATGAGTTGCCTTAACTGTGATTTGAACTCCAGACCTCTCGCTTCCTAAGCGAGCGTGCAAACCCCTCGGCCACGATGAAGTTATATGAAAACGGCTGAAGAAAATCACATTATTCTAAATCAGGGTTTGTAATCCTTATCATTTCGAAACCTGTTGTTAACACAGATGTAAATAATCAGGGAGCTTACTATATAAGCATGTATATCTATAAAGAATAAAACAATATTAAAAATCTTCGACCATTCGGAAACTATTTTGCTTGAAAATTAATGCGCCTGTCATTTGACAATCTTTACGCAGTGATCTCCCCTGAATTTTTCGGCGTTAATGTACATATAAAGGGAAGAAACCGCTTCAGAAAAGCGGACTACTTTCGGCATTTGCAACTAACAGCATCAGGGTCTGAAATTTCGCTACCATTATTTGTTTGGTCTGACGACCCAAACAAATAAAAAAGTAAGGATTTTAAACAAGGCATCATGCTTTACATAAGAATACCTGTATATAATAAAAACAAACTTGAAAGCCTGGAGTAATTAGATTTAATCAAACTAACGATGAAGTGTAGAAAGCGCGTGCATTATCTAATTATATCTTGTGAAGAAATTTTGAAACTGAATAAATTATCACATTTAGAATGTAACATAGTATGATTATGATATCCAAAGAATCTGGAATGAAGGTGTTGAACGTATTCAAACTGCTTGATTGACATATAAGCACACCTGGTAAAAAAGTTGACTTCATAGCAAATTTTATATACAGGGTTCATACACGAGGTAGGTATGCAAGAATTATTGTACAAATATGAAAATACCTAAGTGTAAATCCATTAATAGATATGCGTTTATTTGAAGATAAGAGAATAAATATACAAAATAGTTCACACTTTCAATGTATCACGATGCACGTACGCTCCAACTTGCAGACATGTGTTTCACTATAATAATTATATTATACTATATTATTACTAAAGTATTCAGGTATTCAAACACAGTAGTCAACATGGGTGTCACACGACGTATATTCAAAGCTACTGACTGGAATGGGTTGGAACTTCACACACTTTAGGCCATAACAAGATGTCGCATTCGATTTAGAAGGAAAATAAACGTATATGATTTAAGTGGTTGTTTTTCTGTTGACTTGTAGTTCTTTGTTGTTGTTTTGTTGTTGTTTTTTATCCGTCTTTGATTATATTTCATTATGTTTTCCCAACCACGTGTTCATTTGTTGCTTACTTTCCTACGCACGTCAATATAATTATGTAACAAATCCTTACTTCTTTTATAAGAATTTACATTTAACATATCACTAAAAATAAAAATAAATATCTGAAATAGAATCTACTTTTTGTTTTTTGTTGATTTTATTTCTTTCTTTCTTTTTTTCAGAAATTGAGAAATCTGAGTAGAGCAGCTCATGAACCTGAAAAAAAAGTTCTAAGTTTACACTTGTAAGGGTAATGTAAGTTATCTTGCAGTTGAATATGAATGTTTTCAACCTTGGCAATATTTGCAATTTGACCTTAGAATAGTATTGGTATTATATATACCTTTAAAAAAAATTGAATAAGTAAAATCTTACGGTTCCCATTAGCTGTACGAATTGTTGTTATAGGCCTCATCATATGCCGGAATACGGTTTCCGGAATAAAGCTATTGTGAAGCGTTTGTTAACTCGGATGAGTTGTCGTCTGCATAGATGTGCGGGAAAACAAAATTGTGCTTTCCGAAGGTATCGTGAATTGTTACTTAAAGATTAAACTTATTTCTGTATTAGATCTAATCTAATTTATCTTTAATACGATTTTCAATAATCATCAGTTCATTTTAACAACACCCGAACCCCAGTAAATAACGGAGACTCTCAGTCCAAATGTTTCCACACTTGTATTTTTCAGAAAGTTCAAGTTGCATGCAATTGAACGTTTATTTCAAAAGTTAAACTTACTAGATGCACTTAAGAAAATGCAATGAACCTTATAGATCAATATAGATCATTTCTTGATTTCACGGGCCGTTATAAGGCTGCTTCCCCAAAGAAAAATCCTTTTTAAAATCGTGCAGTTTTTTAGAGTAGCATCAAGTTTTTTTCTCCCCCTTTTGTGTACCCAACTACTTGTTGGGGAAATATGTAGAGAAAGTTTACCAATATGGAGTCTGCTTTCAAATGAAATCTCGCAAAACTTCAAGTTTTGGCAATTCTAGCATCTATTTTTAGTAACGGACCATAAACTATTTTTAGTAAGTGTACAATTTTAATAAAAACAAACAAATAATTCATGAATCATCACTCAAAACAATATAAATCCAACATGTTTTGGTACAATGTTATTGAATAAATACACTGTTATTGACATAATTGCAAAGTCATGTTTTCAATTAAAAATAGCAATAGGGTCACGGGTCACCAAATCAGTCTATGCGAAAGACTTCTAAGTTTTACTGGACAGTAGGTCCTGTAAACTGCAGACTTCCCGAAATACGTCGGTCCGACGGACATGTCCGATAAATTTTGATCAGGTCCGACGATTTTTTATTCCGGATCGGTCCGAATGTCCGGCTTTTATCCAAGCCGCATGTATACAAAATGGCGTCGCTAAAGCTGCCAAACCTGGGAAAAACGAAAATCTTCGTCATGGGAGCGCGCAGAACAGCAATAAAAGGATGAAAAGAATAGACCTGAGACAAAATTTAATGAAAAATGGAAGGAGGACCATGAATCGTTGGTGTATAACAGGGAGGAGATGAAAATGCACTGTATGGAATGTGCCGATTTTTACGAATCCGGGTCAGCTCGGCCCTAAAACGTACTCGGCCCCCGAGTCAGCTCGGCCCTATTCCAACTCGGCCCACTTTTCAATTATTAATATTTATGTTTGTGTTATCACTATTTATTGTAATTATGGTAATTCGGACAGTTTCCGAACTAGCAGTAGACTGGCTTTTCTTATCGGTAGAATTGCGAGTAAAGATAACTGATTGCGTATCTCACTGTATTTCTGAATTGTGGTAGGTTTAACCGTAAATTTAAATACCTTCAGTATATTTAATTCGGCAGAAGTACAATGTATAATAATTAAAATAATAATAAGATATTTCTTATCATTCATTTACCTTAACAACATGCAAAGCAAAGTAAATACGTTATAGGCCTATACATTTTTGTCAAGTGGGCCGAGTTGACCCGTGCCGAGTTGACCCGTGCCGAGTTGGTAGAGGGCCGAGTTGACTCTTTTCCATTTTTACGGCGAAAAAATTAAAAACAAAAAGTGACTTAGAAATACAAGCACAAGTTTTTCTTTGATTTTGATCAATTTTATTTGGTCTGACAGATTTCGTTTCGGTCCGACAGATTTTCATGGTTTGTCAGACCGAATGTCTGACAGTTTTTTTTAACTTTCGGGAAGTCTGAAACTGAAAATTTTTACTGGACCAAACATGATTTTACTGGACCGAAAAAAACCTGATTGGTATAGCATTTTGAGTGACTTGATAAATGTCAGCAGACAAAAAGTTTGTGTACAAAAAGAAAATTATATTAAATATTATCAACGATGTGAAGTTACAAACAATGTATCTTTTTGCACCACAATCAAAATGTAAACATAAATATTGTTATACATGTATTCAATGGATATTGCTATTTAAACTTCAATTCCATACAGACTATATACTAGCAAAATGAGAGGGTAAATTTCAGCAAAAGTCTGGCATATGTAAACAGAATTATATATATCGGTAATTTAGTGAAGTTGACAGATTAATTGTTCAATGATTTTGGTACCTTCTAGAGGTGCGCGGTTTAACCGGTATACCGGTAAACCACGGTCCGAGACAATCTGCGGTACGTACCGCGGTACAGACCTGGAAAACCGGTACTTTTTAGCTCTAATTTAAAGCAATTACAGATCCGTAAAATGTACTAAATTAAAAAACTTTTTCTGTTGTATATGTCAATGTTTCTTTGAGTTAACCTTTTTGCAAACAACTTTCGCCGACTGTTATCATTCTTCGATAGTTCTTAGCGAAAATTGAATGCTTTATCGATTACCGCATGTAACTTGAAAGCCAGAATTGTCGACTTGCATGATTTCAGTTGAAGAAGCAAGAATTGTCGACTTACATTTACTTGTCCAAATATCGCTTATTTGATACGAAAACTAATCGTAAAGATTGATAATTCATGAGGGCATTCCTTGCATAAAATTAGGGTGTTACTATTTTAAGTATTTATATAAATAGCGACCAATCAGGCTAGGGGTTTTCCTTACGTCACGCACTTACTGCATGCGCATGGCAATTAACTAATTATAGAACGGCGTAGAAACTGGATTAAAAGTAATGTTCGTTCAACTAATGAATATTAATTAAGCAGTAACATGGTCAGCTGTTTTCTATGTGATAATTTTAATTTGCTTTTGGGGTACATGTTTGTTTTGGTTTCTGACACAGATTAATTAAATACTTAGCACTTGCAATAAAAAATTTACAATAGCAGCTGGGACTCTGTTATAAAATTAACCGACAAATAAATATTTGTCATCGGCTAACGTGCATTTGACCTATTATTTTATTTTTTATCAATACTTTTAGCAATAAAAACATTTTATTTTTCCATTTTAAACTAATACAATTTATATAACAGTTGTTAAATGTTGAAAGAGACCAATATATAATATAAAAAAAAAACAAGAACTGATCCATGACCCAATTAATTTATGATTGTCAACATGCGAAAGTACCTTATGAAAAAAGTTAAATGATGCTTTGATTAATCTGTAATTTTATAGATCTGCTTTAAATTTTGATATTTGAAATTCTATACCAGCCTACCTTGATACTTATTTTAGAGATAAAAATTAACATATAGCGTACAATGATAATCCGTGGTATACCGCGGTTTATACCGTGGTTTTTAGGAAAAAACCGTGGTATACCGTGGTATTTTCTTTCTGGCGGTACCCAACTCTAGTACCTTCACAGTATAGTTTAATTTTTGTCAACATCTTGGACGATCTTTCATAGCTAAACACCAGTTGAGCACACGTGTAATTTAGCATTACTCTAAGTCTGTCGATTAAAGACGTAAATTATTCAAATTAATACACTGACACTTTCATTTGTGTAAACAAACTAATAGCGGGTGACCTTTCACATCTGGGCCGCTTATGTAATTTACACGGCCGCTTATTGCCTTTTAATTGTACTAGTTCTCGGATATTTTTATCTTACGTTGTTACATTAAAGTTTGCATTATGAGAATGCATAACAGTTGACAAGCATTGCATGAGCTTATATTGTGTAATGACAACATTTTGATATGTTTTAAATTTAGGTAAATGTAAGGTTTTTATAAAAACCTTAATTTTTTACCGGACCGTCGGGCCGTCAATACATATATTTTTATCGGACCTTCTGATTTTTTACCAGTCAGGGATGACGGTCCGACGGTCTTTCGGAAAGACTGCCAAATGTCATGCAAAGGTATTGGAACCTTAATTCAAGCTAGTCATGTGATAATTAGGGCAGCATTATCGAAATGCGCACCCACTGATAATCTTTGAGGCATTATTTCATCAACGCTTTTCCGAGCTTAGTCCGCCCAGAAAGCAATGATTCCATCCCAATTCCGTGCCATTTACGCCCAGAAACCATGCCAAAATTACGTACAGGTGGCGAAATTTAATGTGAAGACAACACTACACAAATGTTTCCTGAAAGTGGAGAGGTTTTTTTTTTGCATTCTGCATTTTATACAAAATATTCTCAAACTACAGTGTAAGAAATTCGGATTTAAATCCACGAGGCCGGTCGGACTACCAGATTTGAATATTCACTAGCCCAATTTAATTTTAAAACATCATGAACTTCGCAGAAAAAAGGGAAAACGTTTTGGCTGCATCCGCCATCTTGTTTGTTTGGGTAATGAACAGCGTGATTCTCCCCCTTGTTGAATGCAACGCTTGCTTTGTTATTATTTGTTTTCATATTTCAAACAATTTAATAAAGTGAAAACAGAATGACGAGTAATGATCAATTTTTAAAGTAATTATAAGAACAGAAAAAGAGAATTTTGATGAAAAGTGGCTCACAGACTGAGTTTCCCTGCATTTGTGCCATAATTTAATCTTGTTGATGTAAATTAAACATAAAATAAACTGTTGTCTTTATTTTGCACAATATATTAATTTTAAAATGTTTTGAGCCTATGTAATGATTATCTGTCCCGGCCTATACTTTTGCCTAAGTTAAAGGCTCAAATGGCCTATGAACTAAAAAAGTTATTTTGCAGAGTCTGCCCGTTCCAGTATGGAAAAAACCCTGCTGTACGCCCATTCTCAATAAAATAAAGCACTCGAGGTTGAAAAATATTAAAAATTTGATGTTGTCATTGTGTCATTTTTTATCGCTGAAGTAAAAGTTTAGGGTATTTTCCAAGTTTGCCAGAAATATTTTGAACAAGAAACTATAATATAACAGGATGGCATTTATTTCGGCAATGACACTGTATTTCTTCGGTAACGTAGATTTCAGATCTTATAATGTAACATATTTGCTGCATATTAATAATGTCTGTATAATATATCAAAATTTGTAAATTCTCTATCTAGAGGGACTTTCTAACCCTGAAAAATTCAAGGAAGTTGGGTACCTTGCTAATTTTCAGTTAATTTTGTTCGAAGTTGAATATTAGTATAAAGCAAAAATACTCTATTTTGGAAATGATTATTTTATGTCTTCATTCAAAGGATATATATCATATATAATATATGAGAGGTCGAATGCATACACAAATGTTGTATTAGCAATTTTTTTTCAAAGCATTCAACTTTCCACTTTCTTAATATTTGGAAAATGTATTGCTAAGCAGTTCTATATTTATCCCCATATAGGATGTCACGTATGTTTCTTTTTATTCAAATGCAAGTAAAGGTAGAGAAAACAATTTTATTTTTTGTAAAATAATTTATATTTATGGATATTATTTTAACATAACAGTGATTCAGATTGGACACACTTTCCTTAGGACAGATGTCCTAAATGGGCATAATTTTTTAGGTCATTTGTCTTAAAGTACAAAAAAAACTTAAGACAATTTTTGTAACAGTCAAATGAATAATAAAACATTATTGACACTTTCAAGTTTACTTTATTAATATCCCTTTTGTTTGGAAAATATTTCATTCATTTCTATTTCAGTCAGTTAAACAATTTTCTAGGTACAGCTGCTTTCCATGCCTTTAAAGCATCTTCAAATGGGAAATCTTCCCTAGGCTTGCCATTTATCCTTATCCTCATGATTTGGTCCTGAGTGTCAGGATTGAGCCTGTTTCTCAAAGCTGTAAGAGTTTGATTTTGAACAGAAAACCCCCTCTCACAGCCTGCAGTGTTTACAGGACATATGATGGCAAGACTGGCCAATATCAAAAGGTTAGGGAACTGTTCACCATGAAACTTATTTATAAGATGCCACAGTTTAAAGAGATCATCACGGGGATACATTTCTGCTTTAACAAGTATCTTAATCTGTTTCCATTCATTTTTTGTTGCATCTGGATCTATGATTGGAGAGCTGGTCTTAGTGTGCTGAACCCCATCAACCTTCCATTTGTGACTTTTCTCCTCTCCAAAATGATTGACCAGAATGTCTATTTTTTTCATCACCCCAGGTTTTCAGTTCAACATCTGACAGCAGTGTGATGGGGCCTCATTGAGAGTACCCCAAATGAGGATAGAAGATCAGTATCTGGAAACCTGAAATTATACAAGAAAAACAGAATTATACTATTTTTTAATTTACCTATATGTTATGTTATGTATAAACAATTATAGTTTTTTATATGTCATATGAAATAATAACATGTAAAAATACTATCTGCATTTTAGATACTTTATTACTAGTGTGGAAAATGTCTTGGAATGCAATGAATTACCTTTTCTCAATATTATTAACAAGTGCAGTGATAAATTTCTCCTTGGCACTAGCTATGTCACTTTTTGGACACTGGGAGATAGTGTGCTCCTTGAAGCAAGTGTCTGTAATGACCTCAGCTAACTTCTGCTCATGGCATCCTGGAGTGCTTATCAACTGCTGTAGGTCTGACAATGTCTGGTCAATCTTCACCTGACAAAAATAATGTTTATTTATAATAATGTTTCTATTAATAAAGGTTTGATTCTTAAATAGTTTTATTGCATGGTTTTAAAGAATGAAGCAATCTGAATTATTTTTATGCTCACCAAGTATAAATCAATACATCAAGCATTAGTAAGTTTTGTAAGTAACTTTTAAACGAATTTTACCTTGACTAATGCTACATCTGTAACTTCCTTTTGGAAGAAAAGATTCAACTGAGTCACAATTGGAATGATGTCCATCATTATGTAGGTAATAGATATGAACTTCAGTGTGGCAATCTGAAATAATTAAAGTTTCATTATTGTTTGTTGGTCAATTAAATCAACAAGATATTTTTCAGACAAAGTATTTTTATACAGAAAATTATCAATTAAATGTTTTAATTAACATGCAATTGAATTTAAAAATAATTTTGAAAATCTTAGCTAGAAAATAAAAACACACAGTTGCAATACAATAACATATATGTGAAAAGATATAAAGTTGTAACAAACTTACTGTAAAAACAATGTGATTTCATCCAAAATAACTATAACAGCCAACAGCAGCAAACATCTATTAAATAACATACATTGAAATGTAAAATAAAATAGGAACATTCAAACTAAAATCTGTATAACAAAACAGCTAACTCTGAACATGTGGTTATTTTCAGCATTTTAATTTAATGTTTTTTTTGCATTTAAATCAATAAGGTCAATTCATAAATAATAATTTGAATATTGTTTATAGCATGAGCCACAAGATCAATGGCTTTATTCTGTCAGTTGTAAAAAATGACTTCAAAAACTGCTGAAAATATTTAGAAAACAAGTATATTTATAACCTGTTTTGCCCAACAGAAATAATTTGACAACCTTTTTTTTTCAATCCTTCTGTGCTTTGGCATCACTCATTGGGGTGGCAGCTAGATAAGTAATCAATGGATCCAAGCCCCTGAAATAAAAAAAAAAAAAATACATTTAAATTGCTGTAATTATGTTCTTTTATGCATATGAACTTTGTGTTTTAGGATTTTCAGGTATAAGTTGATATTAAAATAGGCTTGGTCTGTCTATAACTTGAAATTGCTTTAAACAATCAAAGATTTTATTCACAATAGCAAACATAAAAATGCATATCGGAAAAAAAAACATCATGTTATATGTTTTAAATTGAAGTCTGTTTATGCACATTTGGCAAAAGATGATGATCATGTTATATGTTTAATTTTAAAATTTTTAAATAGTTTTACTTGTAAACTGCTTCAAGTGCCAGAGAAGAACGACATCCCACCGAACAGCATCGGACCTCTTTAAATCTCAATCGGGGGGAGTCCAAGACATCCTGAATGGCCTGTAAACTTTGCAACTCTTGCAGCAGAGAATTGAAGTTAGTAAAAAGATAGCTGAAATGATTAATCAATTCTTAAATAACTTTTTCTTCTTAAAATGTCATGTGCTATATACAAAATCAAAACTAAATACTTTTGTTGATTGAAGTAAGCTTACATCAGACTTAGGAAACAAACAAGATTTATAAAAATATCTTAGCATTGAATTTGAACAGAATTTTTTATTTGTTGTGTTGACAGAATTTTTTATTTGTTGGTTTATGCTTAGAATTTAATCAAAAATTTAGTAAACTGCATAAAAAATGAGCTTATCGATAGTTATAATTATTACTTACATGTTATGACTTCCTGATATGCTTTCATTGGTGGCACAGAATCAGACGCCTGACTTGTACACACAACGCTAGTCTGTGGGGCAATGCAGTGTACATTCATGATATGTGGGTTTTGACGCAGCATCATGCCTGTAGTTCCTCTGTCTCTACCTGAAATTTTGTAGAATTGCTAAAATATTACAAGTCACTATGTATTGGGAATAATCATTGCATTTCAAAGAAAAAGTCAACTTTTTTTATAACAGCAATACCACCATGTGTCACATCATAAAAATTTAACTTTGATTTATTGTGCATTGAGTATTAACATTGGTCTCATTTTTATCAGTAAAATTTTGTGCTAAATTTGTAAAAAGTACCTGTCATTGCACTAGCTCCGTCTGTGCCAAGACCCATTATCTTTTCAGGACCCAATTCCCCTTTTTTCCAACTTTCCTTGTATAGTGCAGAAGAAATAGCTGCCACCTGTTCCTTCATCATAGGCGAATGTTGCATAAATATAATGTTTCAGGAAACATATCCTCCCCCAAAAACCTGGCAATAAATGACTAGGCCGGTGGTGTAAACAGTACGATCTGTTGATTCGTCCACAAAGAAGTGTAACAAATGGGGACTTCTGTAGTTTCTGTACAGTATGTGTCTCCACAGTGTCGGATACAGCTTTCAAAAATTCATGACTAGCATTAGTCTGACTCATAGCTTATAACCGTCAGATACAGACAGATGATTGTTAGCCACTCACACCACGCAACACTTTTCTGAAAACTCAACGAGTGATTTGAATTTAACTGAGCGGTATATTTTCTTCAACCAGGTAATAAACTGTCTTTAAGGCAAGTAGAACCGCTTCTTCCTTGGCAGAGAAGTGCTTGTTCATCACACTTTTAAAGTTCATCTTTACAAGCATTTGCCGCTAAAGATTCTCTGGTGATCTTTTGATTTAACATGGTCACTAAAAGTACTTGTTCTAAAATTATTACAACCTTGTGTAAATATGTTGTCGCGTCCGTCGTTAATACAAAGGGTACAAAACATCAACTGCCTTTTCCTGTAATCGAACTTAAGCCACTTGTGGGGCCTGAAGCCATTTATTTTGAAATGAACGTGGTACTTTAGAATCAGATGAAACTACCTTTTTCTTTGATAGGCGGCTGGTTTGACGATTTTTCACTATTAAAAACCTACACTAAATAAAGATCGTTGTTTTGCATCAAAGAGAGGTTTTTTCGCCCGCCATATTTTGTCATACAACAACGATAAACATCGAAGCGTTCCGCACTACACTAAATCAATAAGCGCCGGGTACCGATAAGCGCCTGTATGACTCGGATTATTTAAATAAACGATTCGTACTTTAATCTTTTTAATCGCATAGATAGGGACGAAAATATCTGTTATAATCGAGGCTAAATTGTAAAATGAAGTTTTGACCGTTTGCTACAGAAATTTTTCGGTCAAATTGTCTGACAAACTGAATTTTTCTCGGCCCGATTGACGTACTGAATTTGTTTTTTCCGGTCATCTGTAGCTTTTATCGGCCATTGACCGAAGGGCCGATCCAATCTGAATCACTGCATAATTATATATAGAAAGAAATACGGCCATTGAGCTCTTTGTAGAGACGAATTAGTTGTTGCTGAGAACATCAATATCTTGTAATATATTTTTAACATTTCTGCTGGTACATCAACATATTATTAACATATCTTTCCTTTGTAAAAACACTTTTGTATCTTCTAACATCTAATACAAGGTAACCATTACTAACAGGGATGCTTTATCCCAACTTTATCTTTTTAATTTCAAGAATTGTTGAATTGTAAGTTGGAGTAACGTATGTTTCACGCTCGCTTATTTATGTACTTTATCACGGAATTAAAACTTACATGTAAAATCAACTTTTTTATTTAGGAATCAATGTACATCATTATATTGTCATAAAAATGAGATTTTATGTTTTTATATATATGAGTGTGTAAACAATATAAAGTCTGTTTGATAAAAGTAACGTTTGTTTCACTGTGGTTACTTAAACAAGTTAAACTCGACCAAAGTTAACAAAATTTACTTACTAATGTCAAATTGAAGTTAATTTTGCTATTATACGTGCTTTCTAACTTCAATTTCCCTTTTGATAAACTTACTTTAAAAAGTTGATAACGTATGTTTCTGTAACGTATGTTTCATTTTTACATTGAAAGTGGGTTAAAAATGACGCAAGACCGTTTAACCCGCCATAATTTGTGGTTAAATATATCAGAGTTACAACACACGTTAATTTTTTTTTCTTGTTTGGATTCTTCTTTGAATGGATTGGCTCTTAAATAATGGTAACGTATGTTTCTTTTTAAATTGCTGATGAAAAGATTTGTATAAAAAATGAAAATTTCCGAAAATAGAATTATATTTGAGAGGCTGCTAGCTTATTTTTACTTATAATTATATATATGCTGTATTATTAAGCATGCATCGATTCAATTATGTAATTTCGGTTTCACTTCTTATTGTTTTAGGTTTGTCACTATTTATTTATATGCATTTGGCGACATTTGATCATCCATTATATCAATGAGATTTTAACAGTCAAATATAATTTTTACCAATAATCAAAGTTCATATACATACAGCAATGACTAAATGCACATGTTTCATGTATGCTGGAACTTAATTTTGTGAAACACAATTTCAAAGTTGAAAATTCTAGGTGGCGACAGTAACGTATGTTACATTTTAGGGCATTAATGGTACTTGTAAAAGAAAAATAACAGATAGAAATGTAAAACTGAGAGAGTCCTTATTAGACAAAGTGGCAGCCACATTTCTAACGACATTTTGACCTCAAGAAAAACCTTCGTATAAGAGCTACACAGTGGAACATCAAATGCTGTGTTTTATTGAGAATGAGCGTGTAGTCCAGATGTTTGTGCTGATTTTTCTTCTCATTATTTGAGATTTGGACCCAAAGATAGTTTAAAATGGTAAATTTGGCTGATGGTTAGGGGTGTAACAATACGGCAAAAAACATATTGCAATATATTGCCATTTTGCTGAAGCGTATTGCAATATATTGCAATATGTATTGTCGTGTTTATGTTTTGATGTAAAGATGGGGTAACATTATGATGTAAAGATGGGGTAACATTATATATTTTTATAATATATGTAAATATTCTTAGCCCAGTGATTTCTTTCCTGTATTTTACAGCCGAATAAAAGCTGTTTCCCCTAGCTCAGAATAGGTACAAATGTAAATTTTCCCCTAAAAAAGCTAATATTTTCCCCTGAAATGTCCTGTGCACTTCTTCACCAGAACCATTACTTAACAGCATCTGACTTATTATATTATATCAGCTAGAAGACAGATAGCTGTTCCTATAGCTCTGCGATGTACCATGCATGTCAGTGTTTTTTTCTTTATATAACTACTACCCTAAAACGGTACCATTCCCAATAGAAAATAGACATTAAAATTCCCAATTTCCAACTTTAAATTCCCAAAATGACTGTTCAAAATGCCCACAAGGCAAAGTGTTTTTTCTGAAATCATTTAAATCGAACATATTCATATAAATCACCACTCAATAGTTCTATCTAGACAGTAGAAGCTGTAGGCTATCTTTATTCATGATGTCTAATCTCATTTGTGCCTGAAAAAAATGCATTAAAAAATTCCCAATTTTAGTCAAAATAACACATTTTTTCCCAATCAGTCTGGTACCGGCACCATTCCCAAAGTAGGGCCACTTCTTTTATATTTCTTGGTTTACAAAACCGGCGACCCGAAATATTTGTAAATTGGAAAAAAAATAAAACTGAAATTTCCACTTTTTTTTCCCCCGATGCAAAAAAAATTATCCGATAAGCGCGATAAATATGAGTACGAAAATTCGAATATTTTTGAGTACGAATCTATATAACACAACATTCGGACTACCTCGGATAACTACCACAGTTCATGGTAAAACAACAATGGCGGCGCCCTTGAGCGGCACTGTTTATTTCCAAGTTGATTTTGTTGGAATTAAAGATTTGCCAACCAGACGGGCTTTTTTAAAGGCTGCCGTTGATGAGGACATCGGCACAGCTATAAGCCGTATCCTTCCTCGAGAAGATTTAATGGTTTGATTTACAATATATTTGCTAGTATATTGTTAAATTGTATTTTTCTTTTCGTCGAAATGCTCAGCCAGGACCGGTTCGGACACACATCCGATCAGTATAAACCGGGAGAAGTGCTGCTTTATAACAAGCAAACGTTCCAGACACTTTGGCCATGTCATTCTAAAGAGCTAGCCCAGCACTGACTTGGTGACTGAGGCTGTTAGAAATGTCATATCTGGAGTGAACTAAACTGTACAGTTCAAGATGGCAGATATTTTTGGTACATTTGTATCAAGAAAGTTAACATGAAAGCTATACTAAGGAAAAACAACAATAAAAAGATGTTTAAATTACTGTTTTTGCTTATGTCAATAGAAGAATGACACTATTTTTGACAAAATAGTGTTTTATGTGCACCATACAAGATTTTTTTTTTTTTACAATATACCCGATGGACCTTTTTGAGGTTTTTTTTTTTTTTTTTTTTTTTCTACCACCCAGTGGACATTTTTGAAAAAAAAATTTGTAAACCAAGAAAAAAAAAAGAAGTGGCCTAGAGAAAAAAAACGCTGCATGTTTAATTGAATTGATATTGAAAATTTTATAAAATGTGTTGGTAAATTCCATTCTCAGTTGTTGGAATTTTCCCCTTTTCTGATTTATCGCGCTATAGTTTCCCTGTTTAGAAAGCCACAGGTTGTTTTGAAAATTGGAAAAAAATTCACTGTCAGTAGAAACTTAATAAAAATGTAAGGACTAAATAGAAAGTAAAGTGTCACACAATTTGATAAACAAAACTAGTCACACATGACCTTTTACATCTGGGTCGCTTATGTAAAATACGCGGCCGCTTATTGACTTTTAAGTGTACTAGATGTCGAATATTTTTATCTTACCTTGGCACCAATAAAATACGCCAATTAAAGATTTTATGCAAAATTTGTACGAAATTAAAAGGCAATTAATTGAAAATTATGGTTTTTATAAAATACTGGTTTTCCCAAAATCGTACTGCGGTACGAAATTTATTTTTTCATATTGCAATATATCCGTATACTGGTAAACCGTTCACCCTTACCGATGGCTGGCTCTTAATAACAGCCCCGTGAGGGTTGTATTATCAGTGTTTTTACCAGATTTACAAGTAAATTTTATGGGAGTTATTAAACTTTTTCTTTTATAACACTAGGTCACACGGACAAATTTAGCTTACCTGGCGATATTTCAAACTTTCATTAATTCTGGAAGGCAAAAGAAGAGAATAACAAGTGGATAAAGCTGCTAAAGAAAATGGCAAGAGGTGGCCCAAATTTGGTGAGATAAAACTTTGTTGAAATAAATTTTATCTTTTTGTAGAATTGTAAAACATTGCAAAATTGTAAAGTTTGTTCAAAATTGTATAAAATTTTGCCAACCAAAGTACACAATGATTTTTCAAAATGCAAATTTTTAGGATAATGATTTAAGTTAGGATTTTTTTACCCAGTATGTGAACTCAAAGGCTGCAGTTATTTTCTTGGAATCCACATTTAGTTAATTTACTCTTAGTAGTGACCGATAAAATCATAAAAAGAATTCACTATCAAAATCATAGTTATAGAATTCTATAATTTTGATAGTGAACTTTTTTTTTGTAATTTCAGGGTTGTCATTAACATTTTTTGCAGAAGGTTTGTTTTGAACTTGAGGCGGTCATTTCTGTCTTTATCATGCATAACAAAGAGTGTTTTCTGAATTTTGAGGCGGCCCATAATGCATTTGAGACAGGTATTTTGGCCTCCTGCTGCCTCTTCATGACAACCCTGTAATTTTATCGATGGTTTTGCATTTTAAGTATCTTACAGTAAGCCTTAGTTTTATAGGTGGTTTTGTATTAAATATCTTATAGTAAGCCTAAAATATTTCTGAAATTTCTTTTTAAGGGTGGTAGCAGGGGTCCAGGGGCAGGGTGGGTGGGGTGTCCAAACACGGATAGTAATTTAACAGCCACCTGTGGTTGGCAGGTGTAGAATCACAGCACCAATTGCTTGGTATATAACAGTGTCAGCGATTTCAAATACATCTCTTGATAAAACAGAATGGCTGCTGTCATTGGAGATAATATTATTCAACAGTGTATTGACCTTTACCAATGAAATTTATTTGAGATTATATCATGCAACAGTGTATTGACCCTTACCAAAGAAATTTCTTTGGTCATATAATGTCTGAGCAGTAATTTTCTCTGACCTCACCTGAATGGGCATACTGAGCTTATTTTTTTCCAGTCATCTGTCACTGTTATTGGCCCTGTGACCCAATGATCAACCAAGTGGGAATCACTGTTGAATATGTTTAAATGATCATGTTTTTTACTTTCCATAGGAGGCCATGAAGAATCTGGATCTGAACCAGTTTCTGGACAAAGATATTGACCTTACTCAGTTCTTCAGTCAACAGGAGCTGGATGATATGGGAATTCATCAGCAAACAAGACTGAAAAACATTGCACAGAATTATGAGATTATGCTCTATATGGGTAAGACTGTTAAAGACTTTTCAGGGCTTAATATTTCCTTCTACAGCAGGGACCGTCATAGGGTGAAAGAAAATATTCTTTAAAATCATGCAGTTTTCCTACCTCGAACACAACACTTCACTCATTCATTTTAACTGTAGGAACTTGAGAATGGAGCTGCAGATTGCGGCGCATATTGTGGATTGTGTAACGGTTTTTAAAAATGTTTCTGCTACATCTAAATATCTTTTAGTATTATCCGAGTATATAGCCTCAAAAATATATTATCAATTGAACACAATCTGTTAGCTTTAAAACTGGTCAAATTTTATGGTATTATAAAGAAAGACAAGGAGAGACATTTGCCGCAAGATTCGCCTTTGGCTATACTCGATTACTATTTTTTCAGAATTTGTTCCCCTTATCATTGTAAACTATCAATTTGTCCAGATCTAACTTTCACAGTTTGTTGTTTACACGTGTTGACATGTATAGGTGGCATTATAACGGGTGTATTTGTGTTTTGATTTAGTCTTATAATTTTATATTTATTTTTTGTTAGGTTTGCCTGCAATTAAACCCGACTTCATGAAAGGTTGTTCTAATAGAGCCAAGGAACTGAAAAGAAGGAACCAGGTCAGCCATACTACCACTCTACCTACTAAGAATAAAATCACATGTTCTGATTCTGACAGTGATGAAACTTGGACTCCAGATTTAGAAAGAAAGAAAAGAGCTAAAGGTATTTTGTGATTGCTCAAGTCAAGCAAGACATTTTCCATTTTGCTTTATATTCTCTTCAAGAAAGCTTAGATATTTTGCAACAAAACAAAATTGAATCTGAGAAAGGAAACATTTTTTAAAGCTCTAGTTTTTTGTGGCAAAAAAATTGGAGCTTAATTCTATAGTTACTGTTACTGTTATGTTGTCATTGAAGTTGCTGTCTGAAAATAATGCATTAGGTCATTATTTATTTCTCAATGGATTGCCTTCGTACTTAGAAGTCACAGACACAACAACCTTTTGAACAAGACCTTTCAGATTGGCCAGACTGAACTTGATCTTAAGTCATAAATGACCTTGACCGTTAAGGTTTTAGTTTTGCTTAAAGTTTGCTTAAATCATCTTTTTCAGATGGCTGTATCATATGTATGGGTATGTTCTATGATGATGGAAATATAAATGTGTTATAAGCAAAATCACAAGAAAAGTCAAATTCAAATGTATCAAAAAAATAACTAGACATGTTGCAGATTTTGTTCTTTTCCATTCCTGCATTTTTCAGGACATAAATCTGTCATTACTCTCAGTGTATGTTGGAAACAACATTAAATTTGGAGACAGAACTAATATTTTGTATTTTTGAAATTGATAAGTTACTTATACATGGAAATAGCTCATATATGAAGAAAAAAACAAACAACCAATTTCATTAATAATGTCTGTGTTTAAATTAATATAATATGATATATAGAATGTGCATGTCAGAAAGTCATTGAAAGTTAGATTTTCGTTAACTTTGAACTGTAGAAGCAATGTATTTAACATTGCATTGACAGAAGCTAGTGATTTCTCTCCCTATATTTTACAGCCGATTAAAAGTTGTTTCCCTTAGCCCAAATTAGGTATATTTCCCCTAAATTTTTATATTTTCCACTGAAATTCCGTCAGTGTGCACAGTCTTTAGCAGAACCATGACTTAACAGCAGCTGACTTAATGTATCAATTAGTTGAACTGAAAGACAAAAAATGTTACTATAGAAAGCCTATGCTATATTTATACCATCCATGTTAAATTGAAAATTTATAAAAAATGTATGGGTAAATTTCATTCTTAGTAGTTGGAATTTGATTTCCTGTTCCCCCTTTTCCTGATTTATCATGCTATATTTTCTCCTTCAGGAAGCCTCAGGTTGTTTTGAAACTGAAAAATAAAATCACTGGAAGCAAATATAAGGCTTTATCACATAAACCGCGGCCATTTGATAAAAATGATATTACACTAGTGTAATAACACTTTGACATAACGTCATTTGCTCTATATAGAAACATAGAGTTAAAGCGTGCTAATGTTAAGCGTTACACTATGGACGCGTCATTGAAAAATGACTCATTTTAACAGTTCACTGTCCTTAATTTATATATGTGATAAATAGAATATTATATTTGTATAGATTCAATACTAAATTTATTGAACTCATTGAATAAAACAATATTATGCTCGCCAGAGGCTCGCATAATAAGATTTTATTCAACTTGTTAAATAAATTTAGTATTAAACTACACTCATTCAAATTATCATCTATGTATATTGCTATATTCTCTGATAAAATCATAAAATACATAATTATATTAACAAAAATTATTTTCCAGAAAATAAGGTTTATCCTACTTTCTCAGCACCAAGAAAGCGAAAATGTAAAGTTGATGATATAAAAGAGAAAAAAACCAAGGTAAGTGATTAGTAGTCATATCATAGCAAATAGAGGTTTCTTTGAGGCATTTTTAGCTCACCTAATCACAAAGTGCTCAGAGGTGAGCATTTGTGATGGCAGCATGCATGCCCACCTTCAGTGGTTCCTTATTATCCACATCATCTAGCCCTAAACCAATGTGGGTTTTGACTAAACTTCACAGGATATACAAAGGTAGCCCTCTATTTAAATGGTTTAAGGTTCCAATCCTATGAATAAGTAGGTAACAGGAGTTAAAACTAGACTTTTTTTTTCATCCGAAACTTCAATACACACATTTTAAAGAGGGTCACATAGACTCACATTGTAAACATGATCGAAATATCTGCTGAGAATGCAGTATTAATCTTACCATCAGTAGTGAAAAATGACAGAAAATCAGTACAATGGGAAACTAAGGCGCCAAACTTTTTGTATTGGTGCCTTTTTTGTATTGTTACAGAAACAAAACCTGTCCGTTAGGCAATATGTATTTAGTCGTTGAGGTAAAACTATTATGGACAGGGATAGGTTTTTAGCTCACCTGTCACAAAGTGACAGGGTGAGCTTTTGTGATCGCTTTTCGTCCGGCGTTCGGCCGTCGTCCGTAATCTTTTACTTTAAATGACATCTCCTGATAATCCACTCAGCCAATTTCATCCAAACTTCACAGGAATGTTCCTTTGGTGGTCACCTTTGAAAATTGTTCAAAGAATTAAATTCCATGCAGAACTCTGGTTGCCATGGCAACCAAAAGAAAAAACTTTAAATTTCTTCTTATAAAAAACCTAAGAGCTAGTGCTTAGATATTTGGCATGAAACATCTTCTAGTGAGTGTCTACCAAGTTTGTTAAAATGAAAGCCCTTGGGTCAAAATTGGCCCTGCCCCAGGGGGTCATTGATTTTCCCTATATGCATATAGTAAAAACTTAAAAATCTTCTTTTAAAGAACCCAAAGAGCTAGAGCTAAAATATTTTGCATGAAACATCTACTAATGGATGTCTACCAAGTTTGTTCAAATAAAAGCTCTGGGGACAAAATTGGCCCCGCCCCAGGGGGTCATCAATTTTCCATATATGCATATAGTAAATTAAAAAATCTTCTTTTAAAGAACCCAAAGAGCTAGAGCTAAGATATTTAGCATGAAACATCTTCTAATGGGTGTTTACCAAGTTTGTTCAAATAAGAGCCCTGGGGTCAAAATTGGCCCAGCCCCAGGGGTGTCATTGGTTTTTCTTCTTTTAAAAAAACCCAAAGAGCTAGAGCTAAGATGTTTAGCATATAACATCTTCTAGTTAGTGTCTACCAAGTTTGTTCAAATAAAAGCCATGGGGTCAAAATTGGCCCCGCCCGGGGGACATTCATTTACTTATATGTGTATTATATAAACAAAAACTTAAAAAATCTTCTTTGAAAAAACTCAAATAGCTAGAGTTTAGATATTAAGCACGAAGCATCTTCTAGTGAGTGTCTACAAAGTTTGTTCAAATAAAAGCCCCGGGGTCAAAATTGGCCCCGCCCCGAGGGACATTGATTTTCCTTATATGTGTAAAGCAAAAACTTAAAAATCTCCTTTGAAAAAACCCGAATAGCTAGAGTTTAGATATTAAGCAGGAAACATTTCCTAGTAAGTGTCTACAAAGATTGTTCAAATAAAAGCCCTTGGGTCAAAACTGGCCCGGCCCCAGGTGTGTAACTGTTTTTAACTATATGTGTTGAGAAAAAACTTGACCAGCTAGACCTTAGATGTTTAGCATGAAACATCTTCTAATGGGTGTCTACCAAGTTTGTTCAAATAAAAGCCATGGGGTTTAAACTGGCCCCGCTTCAGGGGCCTATAAACAGGTGAGCGACTTCAGGGCTATCGATCATGGCCCTCTTGTATAATGTTACAAATCTATTTTTACAATAACATTGCCTTAAATGCATAAATATGACATTTTTTTTGTCCCCCGCTTTTTAGAAGAAAAAAGGGGATATAGAAATAGGCTACGTCCTTCTGTCCATCTGTCACATTTTCGTGTCTGGTCCATAACTTTGTCATTTATCAAAGGTATCTGAAATAACTTGGCACAAATATTTGTTATAATAAGACAATGTGTCATGCGCAACAACAAGACCCCTACCTTTAGGGTCAAGGTCGCACTTGCTCATTCAAGGTCAACATTTCCTATTTGAGGGTATATGTCATGTCTGGTCCATAATTTTCTTATCTGTAAAGGGATTTTGTAAATACTTGCCACAATTGTTCACAATAATAAGACGATGTGTCATGCGAAACAATCAGTCACCTACCTCCAAGGTCAAGGTTTCACTTGGAGGTCAAATATTAACATGTTAAAGGGTATATTTTGTGTCCGGTCAATAACTTTTTCAAAGATCAAAGTATAAATTAAGGATAAAAAAACAAATAGTCACTATAATAAGACAATGTGTCATGCGTAACACCTGCATCCCTACCTCCAAGTTCAAGGTCACACTTAGAGGTCAACAGTTAACATAGTCTGTTTTAGGGTATTTTGTGTCCGATCTAGAACTTCTTTGGGATTTTGAAATAACTAGGCACAAATAGTCACAATAATATTATAAGATGATATGTCAAGAACAACACCTGCACCCCTACCTCCAAGGTTAAGGTCACACTTAGAGATCAAAGGTTAACAGAGACTTTTATATATGGTATATTGTGTGTCCCATCCATACCTTCTTCATAGATCAAGGGATTTTGTTCGAATCAAAGAAACTAGTCTTAATTCTTCAAAGCAACCACTCAGAGAATGATTGTCACAAGGCCTAGTTGCATCTTGTTATGCCTGTATATTAGGCATTTATATGTTAAATTTGAATGTTTCTATTTTAGGCCTTGAAGAAATCTAGTGACAGTACTTCAAAGAAAAGGGTATATGAATTTAGAGAAAGAAAAGCAGTGAACTTCATGCATCTTGAAGCTCCAGATGATGATCATTTTCTGTGTATGATATATTTTGGAATAGGATACATTATTATTATTATCATTATAGTACTCTGTAAAAAATTTAATAGACCCCATAACATGAGAAATTTGGTTACACCTTTAAGCAAAACTAATCAAATGTTACACGTCACAGTTTTAACAAAATAAAGCTGGGTTAAACGTGACTGATCTTCAAAAGTTAAAATCACAAAATTCATGTTCCATCAAATTGATAGTGATATTTTTCACACTTGTTTTGTAATTGGTTAAAGTGTACAGGTGTGAAATGGGGCCCTATTTTGGCCTCAAATTGGCCTTGAAAACCAATATTTCATCACTTTTTTAATGTATCAAAATGTTTAAATAGACAATATTTATTTACTGAGATTTGATGCCATTTACACTTAAATTTTAGCTTATGTTGTAAAATGCAGTTTTAACTGATCATCAACTGTTGGTAAAATGCAACCTAAGTAATAATTATATTAATAGTTTTGCGGTGGCCATCTGTAGAGTCTCAGCAATTACTCCCTTTACAGCAGTTGTATCAATACACCAACAAACAGTTTTCCAACTAACAGAGCAGACAATAATAGTTGTGTTTTGTCAGTAAAGACATACATGCCATAACGTCCCGGATGCCCGGGATTGTCCCAGAAATCGGATGTCTGTCCCGGAGATGTCCCGGGCATCGATTTGATCCCAGAAAAAAAATCATGATATTTTGCAAAATATTCATAAATTTTCTTAAATCAAATCTCGCACATTTCACCTCTCGATCGTAAAACATATTCTGACCTGGTACACATAATACACAGGAACGTTGACACTTACAAGTTTACAATATACAGCCCCCCAATTATCGACTGTCGATTCCCCTCGGCAATAGCTTTCTTCATGCATCGGCAATTAACATTCTCTGTTGAATTCGGCAGCGTTTAATGGTCGGGTTAATTAATGGTTTACGGCCCTTAACAATTATCGTTAATCCCCGATAATCATTAATTTTTAGATCAATCGCTAACTTGCCGAAAGTCTAATTATTACAAACAATGTAAATATATCTATCAAATAAAAAATTAAAGGTGTCAAATAAATCACCTTGCTGTGTTTGTTTTTATGACTGGAAGAATTGCATTACGTGACATGTAGTAATTATCACGACTTTAAGATATAACGGGTGAACAACATGGCTGCGCCCATTCACCGGGTTTATAATAAATAATAACTTACAACTTACTTGCTTTTAGGGAATAATAAATGAAATAAAGAAATACTATAAAATGATAATTATGTCGACCTAAAAGACTACTTATAAAACTAGTAAGTTCACTGTTTATCATTAAAATTCAGGAGAAAGTCGTCCTAATTAATAACGTTATACGATTGACCCCCCCCCCTTTTCCACAACTGCCTACACATCCATTATTGCCGCGATGAAAAGTGTCCCGGAAAGCTGTCCAAAAATTATGGCATGTATGGTAAAGATGTTACTCTTGAATTGTCTTTCATTTGATATTCCATGGTTATTGTACATGAACTTCATATTGAAACTATTTATTGGTGTGTTAAAGTTTGGAAAGAGACGGTAATTCTTCACAGAGATTGCAAACTGTATCAATGATTAATATCATAATGAAAATTTTTGACAATGCCTTATAATTTCTTTGTTTAAATTTGCACAATATTCATCATCAAATGATATTTTTTCCTCAATATAAATCATACATAAATTAACGAATTCATGTTTTAGACTGTGAGGATTGTAACAAAGAGTATGACATGGATTGTCCTATACATGGACCATTGCAGTATATTAGAGATACAGTGGTAATCTTTTATTTCAATAGGAGTTTTTTTCTTTTTCTAAAGATCATTTAAAGTTCCAAGTAATTGATTAATGGTAAATTTTGATAAGACATGTAACCCTGAAGAATATTACATTGTTGGATTCAGGGCACTTAAAATTATCATGACATTTCAGCCATCCTTTATATCTTAAGTCTTCTGTTCACTTTCATGAGTGTGTATTTAATAAATTTTTAAGTAAAAGACGATAGATGGCTGTTGATGAAAAAACAACATACCGTATAAGTGGTTTTTTCTGCGGGCTCCAAATTCTGTGTTTTTTCCAAATTTTGGCATGTTTTTAGTTCTGCGGACTTTATTTCTGCGGCACATTCTTTGGACAAAACGTGATTTAATTTCTGCAACTTTTCTTATCTAAGTAACGTTTCTCTAGTTTATTTTCATGTACACATTCGCATTTGTTTATCGTCGTCACCAAAAAACTGTACTGTTATTACAAACAATTGTTTGCTTGCAAACAAATATAATGCGCAACAAAAGAAAGGTATGCCTCTTTTGATCAGCGTGAATATACTCCGGTAGTATCTTGAATTGCTATACCGTAAATCAGATGACTATTAAAGTATTCGACGATTATTTAGCAGTATAAGGGTTGAAATGGTTTGAATGATTTAGTGATAAACAAACCTTTAGCGTATCGGCAAACACTATAAATTACATGCTGTTAAAATATTTTTATTCTTAAGTTAAAATAATTAACAATAAGTACATCCTTACAAACAAACACAGAATACATACTTAGCAGACAACAGTTTTATTCAACTTGAAAACCCGCTAACCATTGTAATCCGCTAGTTGTTATTACTTTTGAAGTTTAGATGAAACAGGTCATAATGCAGTGCACATAAAGTACCAGGCTAAAAAACAAAAACATGGAAAAATATTCTGCGGTTTTTATTTCTGCGGTGCTGAAACTGACCGCAGAAAACGCAGAAATAATGTCACCGTAGGAAAAACCACTTATACGGTAGTTTACTGGAGCATATAACTGGATAAATAAGAGTTGTCAGTTCAATAGATTTGCACAAAAGTAGCGATGGTTTTTGTGTCGCCTCTACAGAGTAGTGGCGACATATAGGGATCACTTCTCCGTCGTCTGTCCGTCCGTCCGTCCGTCTGTCCGTTCGTCCGTCACAAAACTTGTCCGGACTACTCCTCATAAACTACTGGTGCAATTTCATCCAAACTTTACAGGAATGATCAGTACCAAGTCTAGTTGTGCATATTGTCAGCATTTTCCGGTTCAATGATTTTTGTCAGAGTTATGGCCCTTTAATAATTTTTATTTTTAAAGTTTGTCCGGACTACTTCTCTTATACCACTCATGCAATTTCAATGAAACTTTACAGGATTGATCTGTAGCTCAAGTCCTTGCGCATATTGCACGGGTTTTCCGGTTGAATGATTTTTGGCCGAGTTATGGCCCTTTGATAAAAAGGTTTCTTTTTCTGTGTGTTGCCAGATACACAAAAGCTTGTCCGGACTACTCCTCATAAACTACTGGTGCAATTTCATCCAAACTTTACAGGAATGATCAGTACCAAGTCTAGTTGTGCATATTGTCAGCATTTTCCGGTTCAATGATTTTTGTCAGAGTTATGGCCCTTTAATAATTTTTATTTTTAAAGTTTGTCCGGACTACTTCTCTTATACCACTCATGCAATTTCAATGAAACTTTACAGGATTGATCTGTAGCTCAAGTCCTTGCGCATATTGCACGGGTTTTCCGATTGAATGATTTTTGGTCGAGTTATGGCCCTTTGATAAAAAGGTGTTTTTTTCTGTGTGTTGCCAGATACGCAAAAGCTTGTCCGGTCTACTCCTCATAAACTACTGGTGCAATTTTATCCAAACTTTACAGGAATGATCAGTACCAAGTCTAGTTGTGCACTGTCTGTCCGTCTGTCACAAAATTTGTCCCAACATGAAATTGGCCATCATGAGGCGACACATGTGATTACTGATCGCTCTTGTTATTGTCAAAGTAAAGCATTAATTGATTATCACAAATGTTCAGGATAACAAAGTTTCATTGTGCTAAACACTTTTGCGAATTTACTTAAAAAAGATGCATGATAAACTAAAAAGTTATGGATTGGCCAAGATTTTAAACTTCAGACCTTTGACCTCTACATGTGGCCTTGACCTAAGAGTTGGGATTCTTGGTCTGCCAATAACAATGTATCATCATGCTACACATTTAATTTACCCCAAGTTATTTCAAAATCCCTTGGTGCATAACAAAGTGACCATGAATGCTAGAGATCTAGGTCTAAGTATGACACATCATCACATCATTTGTGCCAAATCATTTCAAGGTCCCTTGATGCATGATAGTGTGATGTGCTGGACAAGATTTTTAACTGCTACCTTCGACCCCTCAGAGTCACCTTGACCTTGGAGGTAGGGTTCTAGGTCTAGCACATGACAGTATTTCTTCATGCTACACAGTCATATGTGCCAAGTTATTTTAAAGTCCCTTTTGGCATGAGAGAAAGTAATGGGTGAGACAAGATTTCTTATTGCTGACCTTTGACCTCTTAGTGTGAGCCAGATGTCTGAGTCTTCACCTTGGGTATGACACTTCAGCTTTTCGTGCCCAATTGTTTCAAAATTGCGTGATGTATGACTACTAGGCCACTGCCCAGACAATGTTTTATAACTGTTGACCTTAGACCTCTAAGTATGATGTTGACCTTTGATCTACTAAACTAGGTCTTGCCATGACACACTAATTGTGCTTAACATTTTTGCCAACTCCAGTGCATGGTTGAGTTACACACATGCTACTAAAAGTAATATACCGCTAGTAGATGTATGCATTTAATATGAAAAAAACAGTGGAAATTGTGGGTGTATCTTTGTCATATGCACACATTTCAAGTAAACTTAATGTAAAGTTATTTTTTGTTACACAGGTAAACTTAGAATATGATGAAGATAGAGCTTTGCATACATTGCCTCCAGGTTTGGTTGTTAAGCCATCTAGTATTATTGGGGCTGGTTTAGGAGTGTTTACTGAGAGAGAAATTCCACCTCGTGTCATGTTTGGACCATATGGAGGTGTTGAGATACACGATGAGATGACAGCTCATGACTCTGGCTACTGTTGGCAGGTATAAACTTTCACATGGAGTTCATGATTAGATTTTATGGTTTTATTTCTCAAAGAGGTGTGGACTGTAATTTTATAGCCAATATTGTTTCTATTTTTCATTGTTATGTTTGGATAGTAATATATGTCAGTATATAAATGTTAACTTATAGGAAACATCAGCAGCCCAATTCAGAACACTTGGTAGAGCTGGTAACAGATATTCAGAATGACCTTGGTTGAGTTACATTCGGACTGCTCATTTTTCACACCCTGTGACAGTGACATATTTTATTTTAAATATCTTCAGATAATAATTTTGATTTATTAGCTTGCTATTCTTTTCAATTGTCTATTGGGTCAATAAGTTGATGCACTGTTATAAAAGCATCTTAAAAAACAACATTTTTATGCTCCCCGAAAAAATTTCGGGGGAGCATATAGTCGCCGCCTTGTCCGTCCGTCCGTCCGTCCGTCTTTCCGTCCGTCCGTCCGTCCGTCCGTCCGTCCGTCCCCTTTTCTTGTCCGGGACATAACTTTGAAACAACAAGAGGTATCAACATGAAACTTTGTAGGTAGATAGATCTCATTGAGTAGGTGTGCAGTGCACAAGAACCGTAACTCTGCCTTGCCTAATTTTTGAATTACCCCCCTTTGTTTATTTTACACTTTGAAATTTGTCCGGGACATAACTCTAAAAGTATAAGAGGTATCAACATGAAACTTTGTAGGTAGATAGATCTCATTGAGTAGGTGTGCAGTGCACAAGAACCGTAACTCTGCCTTGCCTAATTTGTGAATTATCCCCCTTTGTTTATTTTACACTTTGAACTTTGTCCGGGACATTACTCTAAAAGTATAAGAGGTATCAACATGAAACTTTGTAGGTAGATAGATCTCATTGAGTAGGTGTGCAGTGCACAAGAACCGTAACTCTGCCTTGCCTAATTTTTGAATTATCTCCCTTTGTTTATTTTACACTTTGAACTTTGTCCTGGACATAACTCTAAAAGCATAAGAGGTATCAACATGAAACTTTGTAGGTAGATAAATCTCATTGAGTAGGTGTGCAGTGCACAAGAACCGTAACTCTGCCTTGCCTGATTTTTGAATTATCCCCCTTTGTTTATTTTACACTTTGAACTTTGTCCGGGACATTACTCTAAAAGTATAAGAGGTATCAACATGAAACTTTGTAGGTAGATAGATCTCATTGAGTAGGTGTGCAGTGCACAAGAACCGTAACTCTGCCTTGCCTGATTTTTGAATTATCCCCCTTTGTTTATTTTACACTTTGAACTTTGTCCGGGACATAACTCTAAAAGTATAAGAGGTATCAACATGAAACTTTGTAGGTAGATAGATCTCATTGAGTAGGTGTGCAGTGCACAAGAACCGTAACTCTGCCTTGTCTTATTTTTGAATTATCCCCCTTTGTTTATTTTACACTTTGAACTTTGTCCGGGACATAACTCTAAAAGTAAAAGAGGTATCAACATGAAACTTTGTAGGTAGATAGATCTCATTGAGTAGGTGTGCAGTGAACAAGAACCTTAACTCTGCCTTGCCTAATTTTTGAATTATCCCCCTTTGTTTATGTTTACACTTTGAACTTGTTCCAGGACATAACTCTTAATGTATAAGAGATATCAACATGAAACTTTGTAGGTAGATAGATCTCATTGAGTAAGTTTGCAGTGCACAAGAACTGTAACACTGTCTTGCCTACTTTTGGAGTTATTGCCCTTTGTTCATTTTGAAACTTTGAACTTTGTCTGGGACATTACTCTAAAATTATAAGAGATATCAACATGAATCTTTGTAGATAGATAGGTCTCATTGGGTGAAAGTGCAGTGCTTAAGAATCATTACTCTGCCTTGCCTTATTTTGAAGTAATTGCCCTTTGTTTATTTTTACTTTTTGACTTTTGACCTGGACATTACTTTAAAACTATTAGAGATATCAACATGAAACTTTGTAGGTAGCTAGATATATTTTGATAGAACTGCAATGCTTAAAGAACCTAAACAAAGCCTGGTCTAATTTTGGAGTTATTGCCCTTTGTTCATTTTTACACTTTGACTTTTACCCTGGACATAACTCTGATATCATCAGGAAACTTTTTAGATAGATAGATCTCATTGAATAGAAGTGCAGTGCAAAAAAAAACATAACTCTGCTTTGCCTAAATTTTGAGTTTTTGCCCTTTGTTCATTTTTTTTATACTTTCCTGTGTCCAGAACCTTCTCGGGGAGCATCACCCGGTTCAACCGGTTCTTGTTTTTGTTTACCATACCTTATTTTTTGGGCTATTTAGTACAAAATGTCTAAACCTCAAAGAAAGATATCTTAACTTCAAATTAAGAAAGCGTAGTTACCAAAATTTGAATTGTTAAATCAACTGTTGAGTTTAAAACTCTTAGAAAAAACTTGTATCCCATTACGTAATCAAGTCAACATATATTATATATTGAAAGTTCGGCTTATTTTTGTTGTTGTAGATTTATGCAAATGGTAAGCCGAGCCATTTTGTGGATGCTCGAGATAAAGTAACTTCAAACTGGATGAGATATGTAAATTGTGCACCCAGTGAATCTGAACAAAATCTTGTAGCATTTCAATTCAAGGGCAATATTTATTATCGGTCTTACAAAACAATATTCCCTGGAACTGAACTGCTTTGCTGGTATGGCAATGAATATGGGAGGGAACTTGGACTTGTGCGAGATAAAAACCTACTTATCAGACCTAAACTTGTAAATGGTCAAGGTACATGTATTTTGTTCACATTTTTCTCAATAGATTACTATATAAAAGGAATTACAAGGGTGTTTTATTTTTGTTTTTGATAAAGATTTTTTATTTTAATTCACTGACCTATTTGCCAAAATATATGCCAAATGTAGGCCTTTTCTAAATTCACAGATCTGTTGAAATGCATCTTAAATATCTACTGTCAGTGAAAAGTGAATGCTTTTAAAGGTTTTGTGCAATATTCCCATTTCTCTTTTCTTGTAACCATGCTAAATTTAAAAATAAAGTCTGCTCTTATAAAACATTAAGTAAAAATCATTGCTATTAATTTTGTAATACTAAACAATATTTTACAAGGAAAAGTAGATCCACAAAAAGTACAGAAGTGACAAATGAAAAAAAAATCATGAAAAAATAAATATTGTTATTTTCAGAGTGCTTTTCCTGTGTGTTTTGTAAGATATCATTTACCACTGCAGTTTATAATGTTAGACATCTCCTTCACGTGCATGGTAAAAACAAACTTTCTCAAACTGATATTCAAGTGCTTGATGCATGGCTGCGAAAAAATGATGCAGAGGAATATTCTAAAGGAAGGGAAAAAAGACGTAATAGGAGTGTTAAAAATCACTCTGGACAACCTACAAAACCAAATAAAAATTTTCAGCAAGTAGGTCAAGATACACATCAAAATGCTGAAGAAAAATTGTGGAAGGAAAATAATCTTTATTGCACAGATAGTAAAAGTGCAGTATATAAAAGTAAACATGAGGGAGAGAAACATTATAAATGTGATGCTTGTGATTATGCAAGTAGTAATAGTGGTAATCTAAAGAGACATAAGAGAATACATACAGGAGAGAAAAGTTTTAAATGTGATGTTTGTGATTATGCAAGTAATCAAATTGATCACCTAAAGAGGCATAAAAAAATACATACAGGAGAGAAATGTTTTAAATGTGATGTTTGTGATTATGCATGTAATACAAGTAGTTATCTAAAGACACATAAGAGAATACATACAGGAGAGAAATGTTTTAAATGTGATGTTTGTGATTATGCATATAATACAAGTAGTTATCTAAAGACACATAAGAGAATACATACAGGAGAGAAATGTTTTAAATGTGATGTTTGTGATTATGCATGTAATACAAGTGGTAATCTAAAGAGACATAAGAGAATACATACAGGAGAGAAATGTTTTAAATGTGATGTTTGTGATTATGCAAGTAATCAAAGTGGTGCTCTAAACAGACATAAGAGAATGCATACAGGAGAGAAATGTTTTAAATGTGATGTTTGTGATTATGCATGTAATCAAAGTGGTAATCTAAAGGCACATAAGAGAAAACATACAGAGAAAAACTTAGATAAAATAGAATAAGTTTAGAATGTGATTTTTCAATGAATAATCAAAAAATAAATTATGTTTGACGTTGTTGTTTAGTGTGTATTCACAAAAAGTGCCAAATGTAGACTACCTCATGTTTTAGAACACATTTAATGAGTAAAGACATTAAAAATAATGAATATAGAATAATTTCACGTCTTTAGTTATGTACACATTCGACACTTCTCAACATTAATTTTGTGTGCATGCATGCTAATAGTTACAGTAACGCAAAGTAAATATTTCAGATTTCAGTTAGTTAACCAATACTATCAGATTGGATATGTTCCAACTAAGAAAATAAATACCTATAATCCTATATGGGTGTGTTTTGTCCAGAAATAAAAAAAATTAAAAGCTATTTGTCATTGTAATATGGCACTTACAACTATGAACATACTGAGAATTGGAAAATGATTCTTTCAAAAAATACTTTTTTTCCAAAATTTAACTTTGAAACCACCTCTATTAGATGGGAAATGTCCTAACTAAGAAAATGAGTACCAACATGTGTGTATTTTGTCCAAAAAAAAAAAGTTAATGCTTCTCTCTCATCAATGTAATGCACTTAAACATTTTGTAAAAAAATATTACAACATGGTTCATTGATAAATTGGCATAAGCACTCAGGTGATGATATTAAAGGTGTTAGCTTGCAATTGGAAAATTTACAAGTCTGTAGAACTTAATTTAAAAACAAAATGTCATATCATTTCAAAGTAAAACATAGGTAATATTTTAAAGATCAATCTGCTTTGTTATGCTGTTGGTCTAAAAGTTACTGATTCTTGAATTTTATAACCTGTTTTGGGCTATAAACCAACCAAATGCAGTTAACAGATTAATGTGACACCCTTGATATACATACATGTATATTAAAATTATATTATACATAGGTGCTATTTAAAAAAAGTCCATTTATATTTTATACCCTAATGTACAAACAAGGAATGTTTTTCTTTCCAATAAATTTTTGGTTCAATTGAATTTTAACATTATCGAAGAAGAAGAAAGTCCTTATTTTTTGGTTGAAACTTGAAATATTTCTAAAATAAATATTTCTATATTTTTGTTATACCCCCGCACAACAAAGTTGTAAGGGGGGTATACTGGAATCAGCTTGTCCGTCCGTCCGTCCGGCCGTCCGTCCGGCCGTCCGTCCGGCTGTCCGTCGGTTTTTTCTTGTCTGCCCAATAACTTAAGATTCCTTTGACCCTTAGTCTTCATATTTGGCATGGAGGTTAGTCATGATTAGTAGATGACCCCTATTGATTTTGAGGTCACTAGGTCAAAGGTCAAGGTCACAGGGGCCTTGACTTCAAAAAGCTTGTCCGCCCAATAACTTAAGATTCCTTTGACCTACATTCGTCATATTTGGCATGGAGGTTAGTCATGATTAGTAGATGACCCCTATTGATTTTGAGGTCACTAGGTCAAAGGTCAAGGTCACAGGGGCCTTGACTTCAAAAAGCTTGTCCGCCCTATAACTTAAGATTCCTTTGACCTACAGTCGTCATATTTGGAATGGAGGTTAGTCATGATTAGTAGATGACCCCTATTGATTTTGAGGTCACCAGGTCAAAGGTCAAGGTCAAAGGGGCCTTGACTTCAAAACGCTTGTCCGCCCAATAACTTAAGATTCCTTTGACCCACAGTCTTCATATTTGGCATGGAGGTTAGTCATGATCAGTAGATGACCCCTATTGATTTTGAGGTCACCAGGTCAAAGGTCAAGGTCACAGGGGCCTTGACTTCAAAAAGCTTGTCCGCCCTATACCTTAAGATTCCTTTGACCCATAGTCTTGATATTTGGCATGGAGGTTTGTCATGATTAGTAGATGACCCCTATTGATTTTGAGGTCACCAGGTCAAAGGTCAAGGTCACAGGGGCCTTGACTCCAAAAAGCTTGTCCGCCCAATAACTTAAGATTCCTTTGACCCACAGTCTTCATATTTGGAATGGAGGTTATTCATGATTAGTAGATGACCCCTATTGATTTTGAGGTCAAAGGTCAAAGTCACAGGGACTTTGACTTCAAAAAGTTTGTCTGCCCAATAACTTTAGATTCCTTTGACCCACAGTCTTCATATTTGGCATTGATGTTGATCATGATTAGTAGATGACCCCTTTTGATTTTGAGGTCACTGGGTCAAAGGTCAAGGTCATAGGGACTTTGACTTCAAAAAGTTTGTCCACCCATTAACTTAAGATTCCTTTGACCCACAGTCTTCATATTTGGCATGGATGTTGATCATGACTATAAGGTGACCCATATTGATTTTGAGGTCACTGGGTCAAAGGTCAAGGTCACAGGGACCTTGACAAAAAAAAGCTTTTCTTCTCAACTGTTAAAGAATGTCCTGTCCGCAATGTATTGATTTTGACATTTTCACATTTGAAGCATGTAGAATACATAACTTAGCAATGCACTGGCTTAGTAACCTCAGATTTGGCAGGGAGGTTGTCCTTGAGCTCTAAATGGCCACCGTTGATTCTGACAAAGTGGTATGCGGGGGTATTCACGCCATGATAGTGGCAGTTCTAGTTAAAACCAATAAATTGTCTGAAATAATTAAAAGAAACAAGAGTTTTGATTAGGTCCCCATAAAAATGGAGACTAAAGCTGTAATCTGTATATATAAAGCTCTTTTAGCTCGACTTTTCAATGAGAATAATTAGAGCTTTTGTAGTCACCTGAGTGTTGGCATAACCACTTATGTTAAAGTTTTTGTAATGACTCAAATATTTCAAAAGTCCATCAACATAATTAATTGTTTTGAAACTTTGCACACTTGTTCACCATCATGGCCCCAATCTGTAGACAGGATGAAGTAACTGTATCAAGCATTTTGACAGAATTATGCCCCTTTTTTGACTTAGAATTTATGTTAAAGTTTTGTAATCCCTTAAATATTTTCAAAATCCATTGACATATGGCTTTGAAACTTTACACACTTGTTCACCATCATGATCCCAACCTGTCGACAGGAGGTGGTAACATTATGAAGCATTTGGCAGAATAATGCCCCTTTTTCAACTTAGAATTTACATTGAAGTTTGCATACCTGTTACCACCTCAAATATTTTCATATTCTATTGAATCTGGGTTTGAAACAAATTGAAATTTTTTACTCTTCTTTGAGACCATAGTAGGACTTTCTTCAAGGCCTTTAACTATAAAATGGATTTATAAAAATTTTTGCCCTTTTGTTAACTTAGAAAATTTTACATTATCAAGGCTTTTTTTCTATCAAGCACTTAGAATACTAGTAGTTGAGCGTTGCTTTCCTACCGACAGCTCTTGTTTTATATGCAATTGTATCTAACTCAGGGTTTTTTCCCCAGGTTTTGGGAGCATGACCCAATTACCCATGGAATTGGGAATTTCAGCGATGTTTTGTTAAAAATTGGGGAAAAAAGCATGACTGAAAAATTGCAGTAATTAAATGAATGCAAACAATCACTGTCTCGGATGACATCTTCAAACATTTAAGCACTATAAACAGTGAAGAAGCTTAAATATTTCAAAGATTTATGGTTTTTAACAGGGTTCCCACGGTCAGGGAAAAGTCAGGGAAAAATGATTTTTTTTCAAGGTCAGGGAAAAGTCAGGGAATTTTGAAATTGGTCAGGGAAATATGAAAAATAAGGAAAAGTCAGGGAATTTTGTAAAGGCCTCAACAGACGGTAGGATTTAGCTGTACAGCACTAATTAGAGATAAGATGTACAATTTTCAAAGCTATACAACACTTGCATTCAGATGGTATTTCTATACTGTAAGAATCTTCTGAGGTTTCCCCTAAAAAGGATCCCTTTACATTGATCCTTTACATACTTTACTCACTTAATACTTTTTTTCGCCATGAGTAATGATTTTGAAAACACCTCCATTAAAAAAAATATATATACATGTATATTTTTTTTTTAATGTGGGAAGCCTGACCCGAGACTCAAACCTGGGACCCTCGGAATACCGTACTGCGGCTCTACTGACTAAGGCTATGTGGCCGCCTACAAACTACCTCCCCCCCCAAATTCATGTTATTAGAGAACCAACTCAATAGCCGTGACATAAATCATTTTCGGAATAATTTGGGATTCGAACACAACACTAACTTTGGGTCTCCTGAAGAGTTTTTCAAACATCATTTTTACCCCATCTTACTAACTATGTTTTACCTTTTAGCCCTAATTGTTCTGGGAATTTCATTCATTACATCCATTATCAGGAGATAATTTGCTTATCTGTTACTTGTCATTGTGGGAGGTTCTGTAAAAATCGGTACGACAAGATTTTCAAAATAGAACATGTCCTATCCTTTACATTCGAAAAGGTTCCCAAAACAAGAAATAGTTAAACCTTCACCTTAAGATTTGTCTGTTTCATCTTAAATTTTAATTGGTGTTGGGACTTTAAAAACCCCTAAAAACCCTTTTGTTGAGGCCTTTTAAAAGAAGAATTTTTTGGTTTTAAAAATGTAGAAAGCAAAATATCCCAAAGGGTAAGGATTTTCTTTTTTATTGTTTTTATTAAAGGGATCTTAAAAATTTAATTTTTTCCCTTATTGCATTTCCTTTTTTCTCCCTTTTTTAAATTTCTTTCTTAAACTAAAGTTCTTTAAAATTTTTTTTTAAAATTTTTGTTTATTTAAAGGGAAAATTTTAAAATTAAAAAGGGGAAGTAACAAATCTTCTAAAAAACAGTTAGTCCAAATTTAATCAACCTTGGTAGGATTGTTCCTTTGGTTAAAGGCTTCCAAATTAGTTAAAATTTTTCAACCAAGTTGCTCAAATTTTTTACCCATAGCGTCAAAAAATTGACCTTGCTTCAAGGGGTCATAGGTTTTCCTTATATGTTTATACATTTAGTAAAAATCTAAAAAAATTCTCCTCTGAATTGACAAAGGCTATTTATGGTTAGATATCTAGCATGAAAATTTTTTTCTTGCATATCAGAATGGATTATCTACCGTTTACACCGGTGCTAGAAAACTCTATCTTACACCCCCCATGTAAGACAAGTCGCATGTTTTAAATGACGTCATTGACACGAGCCCTTTTATGAATGAAAATTGCGTTCTTAGGATGACGTCACTTAACCCCGTTTATGAATGAAATTGTCAGTTCATACGCTACTATATAGTAAAAAGTGCGTAATTGAGAATATCCGTTTTTTTTTAATTTCTGTTTTAAAAATAATTGAAATATGTTTATATGCAAGAAAAAGAATCAAAACACCGGCTGTCGGTACAGACAGGAATATCTTAGCTCTCGGGTGACTGTTTTTACAGCCTCGTTACCGCCGTAAACGAGCTAGATATTCCGGTCTGTACCGGCAGCCGGGTTTGTAAGATTCTTATAGTATTAGACCCTTTACCAAGATTGTTTATAATTATAGCCCTGGGGTCAAAATTTGTCTGATTCATTGATTTTTCATTATTTTACATATAGTAAAAATAACTATCTATGAAATAAGTAATGCTAATAATTGGAAAAAAAAGT